TGCATAGCAACCATCTGGAACAGCACCCTAGCAACCACCCAGAACTCATCAAATGTACAGCCATTTATTTCACCTCTGTTTTATTGACAGTACAATCACAGTATGCTGTCCTCCTCCTCATTTGCTCTCTTTTGCTTTGTTCTCTCTCTTTCCTTGCTCTGTGAAAGGCATTACAGAGGTGATGGTTGCTGGGTAGCTTAGAGGAGTTGATTTTGGCTCCGGAGTTGCATGCTTGTTAGCAGTCCAGCCTGAATATGTCTTATGATTCATGTTCATGTTGCACTGAACAGAGCTGAGAAAATACGACAGTCTTAATCAGGGATTAATTCTGCAGAGTATGTGTGTGTGTGTGTGTGTGTGTGTGTTGTGGATGGCAGTTGCAAACTATTTCTATAGCCTACTCATTTCTGTATATTTAATCCTATTTTAGAGTATTCTTTCTTCAAACACACGCATTCACATAGAAGCGAAAAAGAAAACGCAAAGCACGTAAATCTCACAAAATCACGTCTGGGTCATATTTCATTTCAAAATCAAAAGGCAAAAATGACAGGCACACCGCTACAGTGTAGCACAGAGTACACAGGGCAGAACAAAAAGCATTGTTCGATCCCAGTCCACAAGAGTAGAAGCACATCCCATATAGCAAATTTCACAAACAATAAAGAAACCGCAACTAAATAAATGAAACATGAAATTTTTTTTTTTTTTTTTTTTACAATTTAAAAAAATCATTTTACATATATAGAGAGGGAAAGAGAGAGAATTTATAATATTATTAATACTCTACTTTTGTAATATTTTATAGAAATAGAATTTATAATTCTATAAATGCTAAATCTATATTTCTAAATCTATATATAATCGGCAATGAATCACCTGCGATTTTGAATGTGATTTTGCGTAGCTTGTCAGTGAACTACAGCTCTGTGTAGTAAATGCCGCTCCATCTGAAAGCACGTGCTGGAGATTTACTACTAATCACAGGAGCGACTTTACGGATGAGATGTGCATGAAAATCACATTTGATTTTTTGCACAGCCCTACTTGTTCTATAATATCCAATTATAAAATGTTTTCTTATCTTTTAAAATATGTATTAAGATATGTTCTTGATCAACTTTGTAAGATTCACTCAAGAACCAACATGATAGAAGATATCAGAAACAGAAAGATGAACTACATGCACACAAAATGCTGAACAGTGTGTTTGGTGTATACAGCAGCAGCAGCAGCATAGCAACAGTGTGAGATTGCCTAAGCAAATATTCCCTAATTCTTTGCTCAGTGTTTTAAAAGCTTTTACGTGTGCTGGCAGATGAGATGGAGATTTTCTCAGGGACCTCATCAGCAAATGGGTGTTCTCAAATCTCAGGCCACCCCTCTCTACACACACACACACATGTTGCGAATCATTACTTAATTCAGCTGAACTCTGAGTTTTGATGGACATGTTTTAGTTTAAATGAAAATGTAAAGGTCAGTAACCTTATACTGATCTCATTCTCAGTAAGCACAGTATTCAAGCTCCAGGTGTGTTAGCCATGTGAGCTCTATCAGAGACTGTATAAGGGAAGAAGATGGACCACTCATAGATTAATGAATGAGAGAAATTACAGCGGTCAATAAAATTCAGTCCCACCTTTATGTTAAAAAGGCAGATCCCCTCGTTAACTTGAGTTTTTTATTATAATAATCAGGTGCAAACAGGTTTGTTTTTTTGAACTGTGGCCATGTTGTAATATTTGTAATATATTATTTTAATTATGTTTTTTTTCCCTGATACAAAACTGTCCTGGACCAGACTGAAAAATACAGTTGTAATGAGATTTGAGCTAAAGAAGCTACATTTATGATCTTCTTGTCAGATTTTATTGCTGAATTAAAATACTATTGAAGAAAATTCTTGACAAACAGTTTCAAGATTTTTCCTCATTCAAATATAGAGCTTTACTTATATGTTCATTACCTCGGAAATAGCTAAAATAAGTGTTACCAAGATGGTCGCTGAGTAAACTGATTCGACTGACTCGTTACAGTGCTTGCAATGCTTGTTATTAAAGGGGTCCTATTATGCTTTTTCACTTTTTCAACTTTAGTTAGTCTGTAATGTTGCTGTTTGAGCATAAAAAAGATCTGCAAAGTTACAAAGCTCAAAGTCCACTTCAAAAGGAGATATTTTATTTAACAGAAATCACTTTTCAAAAACTACAACGAACAACTCGTTTGGACTACAACGCATATTTTCCGGGATTTGTGATATCACAGATATCAACGAATGGGACGAGACCTGGTTGAGCTGCACTAGAGAAGGCAACGAGTGTTATCACTATGTCGGAGACATGCTAGCTTTCCCAAGGCAGACGAACTTAGAGTGGTTACAATCATCCGGGTTTAAATCGCGCTCAAATTGATTTGATTTTGACGCAATATTTACACTGAAGCTCGCAGGTGGCTATGGTAAGGGGCGTGACATTTCCCGACCAGGCGCCAAGAGGTGCCAATCACAGCACACACTAGCCCAGCTAACCAATCACAGCACACACTGGCCCAGCTAACCAATCACAGCACATTTCGTATTTCAGAAGGCGGGCCTTCATTTGATACAGGAACTATTCGAGCCGTTCATGCCAGACTGAGGAGAGAGGTGTTGTAATAATGTAAAATATGTGAAAAATAATGTGTTTTTCGAACAACCTAGTATGAGAGCCTGTTCTAGTACACCCCCAAAACAAGATCAAGACTTTGTAAAAGAGCATAATAGGACCCCTTTAAATTAATTTCACATATGATCATGTCAGATTTCATGAAACCATTAAGTCTGCATGAAATAAAAATTAACTCATCTATTTTCCAAAAGCATGTTATTGATCTCATTGTGCTCATTTTATCACACTGAAAATACTCAGAAATTGCTAGTAAATTTCAATAGATAATTATAAAAAGGGAATAACATTCAAACCTATTACATTTGAAGTTAAAAATGTATTTAAAAAATTGATGTAGAAAGACGAAATGCATAACAGTGTTTGTTTTATTTACATCTTCGAAAAATCATTTTTACAGTATATTTTTTTTATTAAGTTTTAACCCTACATATTTTTCTTGTACAGTAATCTGTTTCACTCAGATGTACATCATAATGCAGATAAAAAGATCTGTTGCTACTTCCGTCACATTGCAACATTAATATTAAATAGTAGTAAATTCCTGTTGAACTTCAGTTGAAATAAAAAAAAAAATACAATAATTATGCAAGTAGTCATTATCCAGTACACTTGTTCCAGGTTTAGGCCTTCTGGCGTAACCTGAGGTTATGTTTCTTGCTCAAGGGCACTGGCAATAGCTTTACCGAACTTACAGAAAACTTTAACACCACTCTGCTGATGCCTTGCGAGCACTGGTGTTTCCTTCGGGAAATGCAAATCTAGTTTGTAAATATGTGTGTTTTTAGAGTCACTGTTGAATGCACATATACTTGGAAATGTTAGGCTTTAAGCAACAAACACAATTTCATTATGCAGCCTGGAGTTATAAATCTTGTTTGTTCATTTAGACCAGAGGAGAACTGGCCTTCCTTCTGAGCCTGGTTTCTCCCAAAGTTTTTTTCTCAAATTTTTATCCACACCTGATGGAGTTTGGGATCCTTGCCAGCATCACTTTTGGATTGCTTAGTTGGGGTTTAAAAGACACGTAATATTCAGCAATATTATTGTTTTGACTGCAGTGACACTATTGCATGAGAACAAAACTTGAACTGACTTGAAATGAGCTGAATACCGATGCTATTGTCTTCTATAGAGCTGCTTTATAGCCAAATCAAATTTCTTTCATAACTGACTAATTTTGAAACATTGTTACTGAATTGAACTGAATTGAATTACTGAATTGAACTGAATCAACATAGAACTGACTTAAGTTGAATATTGACTTATTGTCTTCTAGCTGCTTTATAGCTGAATGAAATTTGTTTCATAATTGATTAATTTTGCAATATTTACACTAAACTGAACTGAATTAACACTGAACTGATTTGAGCTGAATAACGACACTACTGTCTTCTGTAGAGCTACAGTACTTACAGCTGAATAAAATTTTTTCATAATTGACAGGTTTTGCAACATTCAATGAATCGGTTCAATGTTGATTCAGTTCAGTTCAATCACATGACGATGTTGCATAATTCATCAGTTCTGAACACATTACCACTGAATTGAACTGAACTGAATCAACATTGAACTGACTCACTGAATAACGATAATGTTGTCTTCTGTACAGATGTTTATAACTGAATCTAATTTGTTTCACAATTGACGAATTTTACAACATCAACACATTATTAAACTGAACTGAATCAACAGTGAACTGACTCAGGCAGAATAATGACGTTATTGTCTTCTGGAGAAATGCTTATCGCTAAATTGAACTGGTTTCATAATTAATTTTACATAGTTATTGAACTGAACCAACAATTAACTGACTTATAAAATAATGACACTATAGTTTTTTATTGCTGCTTTACAGCAACTTGAATTTGTTTCATATTTTCCTGTTTAATGCTGTAATGCTGCTTTGAAACACCTGTAATTCAAAATCTGTATTGTATGAAACGCTAAATTAAGTTGACTTGACTTCACATTGAAAACACTGGGGTCCAGAAGTCTCAGACCAGTGAAAATACTGAAAACAGTACTTTTTTTCTGCATTTATCAAAATTTTTATAACATTACTGTTAAAGTTTTGGATAGTAACCTCATTTTAAAATACAGTATAGTACATAATGATTACCATATTCATAGTAAAATATTACCATAGTATTAACATGGTCCAAAAACATGGTAACAATGTTTGACAACACTAATATTACATTTTTTGACTGCATCAATTGCTTACATTCAGCTGCATGCATTAACCTGTAGCATCCAACTAACACTGTCAGTATTTCCCAGCTCTTCTATCATAAATGAAGCCATAAACCCTCTTTTCTCTCTCTTTTAAAGGGGTGCGTTCTCAGAGGTGGTCCTGGCAGAGGAGAGGTCCACGGGAAAGATGTTCGCTGTGAAGTGCATCCCTAAAAAAGCACTGAAGGGCAAGGAGAGCAGCATCGAGAATGAGATTGCCGTTCTACGCAAGTGAGTTCCATTTCCCGTACCACACCTGTACCCATGGCAACAGCATCACCCCTCTCTTCCACACTCATTCTCTTAGTTTGCCAATTGATAGGAGCTTGTTTGCCTGAGGTTTGACCTCCAGTTACCTTGGTAACTCCGGTGCCCTCGTCCAATTACAGCAGGGAAGCTCCCTCAGATGTTCTCTCTCTGTGAAGCTGCACGCGTGCGAACCATGTCCGTGAGTGTGGACAGAGGCTTTGACTGTGTTTGGAATGGAAAATAAGTGCATGCTTACTGCATACTGAACGCGCAGTATATACTGTTTGCTTCCTATTAGTATTAAAATATAGTCTTTTATGTTATGTACATATTATGTAAAAAAATAAAAAATCAGTAATTTCAACCGATTTTAGTCCATTCACACACTGCCTTTCAAAGGTTTGGCGTCAGCAGGGTTTTTTATTTATTTATTACAAATTAATACTTTTATTCAGCTAGGATGCATTAAATAGATTTTTTTTAAAGTGAAAAATACATTTATAATGTTTCTATGCAGAAATCATAAAAAAAATGTATCACAAAATATTTCCACAAAAATATTAAGCAGCACAATATTTTTAAACATTGATAATAAAAAGAAATGTTTCTTGAGCATGAAATCAGCATATTAGAATGAACTGGAGTAATGATTCTGAAAATGTAGCTTCGCCATCACAAAAACAAATAAAGATTTTAAATATATTAAAATAATAAAAAAACATTCAAAATTGAAAAGGTAAAAAACTCTTATTTTAAATTATAATCTTTTCACAATATTAGTTTTTTATACATAAATAAGAGAACTTCTTCATAAGAGATTTTCAACAAAAAAATAAAATAAAATAAAAGAATGTAGTGTAATATATATGTAGGAGGTCAAAGACGGGCTGGTTGTGATGCCATTTTTGGTAATCATTGAGCTCATGAATATTAATTAGCTAGCTTTTACATTGCCAGACAGTTTTACAGTTTTCAGTCCCTTGTCCTTATTGATATTTATGCAGTGTTCCTCGCTGACTTGGCATGGGCACAATATCAGCTTTACCTTTGTGCAGATATTTAAATTGGCTATATTTACATAAATTAAAAACTAAAGTCCAATTATTTTTTTAAATATGATTTTATAGTTTTTAAAGTTATGTTAAAGTCACTTCAGTTTATCTTGACATGCTTTTTTAAAATGCAATCCAAAATAATATTTTGATATAAGCTAAATTAGTGCATGGCCCATTAAAAGTACACATTACAAATATATTAGAGAGTATGTCCGAGCGTTAGATGTCTCTGCGTTTAATATTTTCTTTATTTCTTAATTTTATCACTTCACAACTGTTAATTTGCCCACTCTAGCTCAAAGAAAGCAAAGCAAACCGACCTCTTACATACAAGCAACAAGCTTAACACATTTCTGAGGTATTTTCCCACCGTCGGTGCAAATGAAAGCAGGTGTGTGTGACATATGGTGTGTGACGGGTGTTTCCCCTGAGACTCATCAGGAAAGGCTGCCTCTGATTCTGACATGGGCTTCTGTTGTCACAGCGATCTTACCCTGGAGATCGGACACACAGTTTTGTCCTTCAAGTCTCGGTCTCCCTCGTCTCATATCATAGCAACCAAATGATTGACAGCTTGTCTGCCATCTCCTGGGTGATGCCATAGGCCTGTAATTAGATGGAACGAGTGCACACACGAGCCAACGAACGAGAGTGTGTTCGTTTCTTCATTGTCCGTTTTTGTCTTGCCTGCATATGTGGAAGATAATGAGATGCCCTCATAGGTTAGAGTTTATTCTTCGCAATACCCACAGAGAATCGCTAACGTACACTCCCAGCATGCCTCAGAGTCATGCTGCCTGACTGACTAATGTTATGTTTAAATACTTAAGTCAATTCAATTTATCCAGACATGGGACTCGCTAACCCAGAGGGAAATTTTATTGCTCAAAGGCTGCTCTTTCTTAGCTCATGAGACATAATTGAGTTCTAATCAGGCATGACGTGAAGTTTCCAGTCATAAATGTTTTAGTCCGCACTAAAAGTGAAAATGCTGCATAAGGCAATAGTCTCAGTCAGTCAAGAAATATTAGGATTATGGACCAATGAGATTAAGGTGGGCGGGGCTAGCCAGCACAGCATCACTTGTCATGGGTCAGGACAAAAAATAAGATTTACATGGAAGAGATCGCTGTTATTACTTGTTTTGTTTAAATATTAGCTTTGTCTCAGAAGTTTCTCCTAAAATTTCTTAGGAGATACAAGAACAGAATCAAAAGAGATCATTTTCATACAATTTTTGACATATAGTAAAAGTATATAACATTGTGAAAAAGAAGTACACTTTAGCATACTTTTATTAAGAGAACTTAAATAATATACTTTAGAATATATTTATGTGCAAACTCAATGTAATGTCTTCAGACACTTAATTGCATGTTAATTGCGATTAAAAGAAAACTGTTTAAAAAATTACATTAATTGCAATTAGCTGATTTTTAGAGTGCGTTTTGACCCACTTGAGTAGCACTTACAGTATATACAGTACATCTTTATATGTAAACCTCCATTTGCTCTCCATTTAATCTCATTTCTGTCTTGGAGAAGCGATTGAGACGTTAAAGGTATAGTTTGTCCAAAAACGACAGGTTTGGAACAAGTGGAGGGTGAGTAAATGAAGACAGAATTTTCATTTTTGGGTGAACTTTGCCTTTAAAAATAGATCTCATTTGTGTATTTTCTTTAATGAGAATGAGTCTCGCTCCACATCAGATAATGTGAATGCTGAAGTGAATCACTTACTACTTAAAAGCACCTGGCACAAAAGAAAGCGACACGCAGCTTTCAGCAGTAAATAGCTAGTCATTCTACCTTTTTTTATTGTTAAATGATTTCTTTTTATTGGCACTCAGCAGTGTTTTTTGTGAAATAATGGAAAAGAGTGTTTTTTTTTTCCTCGCTCTGCTTTCACCCCTATTCCTTAGTGCTTTTTCCTCTTGAATCAAAAGAGAAGATGGTTTCAGAGGCAGCGAATGAGTCGTGCTACAGCTTCTGCCCACTCACTGCTGAAGGAGAAAGAGAGAGAGAGAGAAACAGACAGAGGGAAGAAGCAGCGAACGCATGAAAGAGGGATATTAAGCCAGTGAATGGCTTTGTAATCCTCCAGCAGACGGGTTTCCATAATCAGTTTTGAAAAATCAATACGTCAAAGGGCAAATCGACCTACAGGTTTTGTTCAAGAAGAAAAAACAGAGCTTGTCTTTGTTTATTCATTTGTTTCCAAAGCTAACATTTTAATATGCTGCATCAGAGGTGACTCTCAGTTCATTGAATCGCGAATCGATATGAAACCACTCGATGAAACCACTAAATGAATCACTTGCTCTCAGATTTATCCGTACCTCAGTAACTCTTTTATATATCAAACAACAATACAAGGAGCATTTCTGACAAAAAACTAACGCCTGCTGGCTGCTCGGAGGCGTTTTACTGCAGTCTTTTATTTTGCATTTCTCTGAACCGAAACCTTTTTCTGTTTTATCCGGGCTCAGGCAGCGGTGAGCACCATTGAAAGAACCGTTTCTGAGATGATTGCCCCTTGCCTGTAGGGATCAACCTTTTCTGAATATATGGATGAACAAAGAGAGTTAATTATAGGAAACTGAGGTGGGGGAGGGGGGAGAAAACAAATGTATTATCTGTACCCGTTGATGTCCATTATGAGCATGTGTGCATGCATGCGTCCTGTTATTGTTCGCTCACTTGCGTCATTGCCTGGCCTGTTATCATGTGCCAGTTGGACTCGCTGATCAGAATTCACTTAAAATGCAACGCTAATGTGTATACACACGGCCGCCGTGACTGTGTTACCATGACGAGAGAAGAGAGAGATGTTAACTGCAGGGAAGGAGAGGAGAAGAAAATCAAAACAAAAAAAGATATTGCCAGTTGATATATGAAAGAGATGAAAAAGCCACCTTTTAAAGCAGGCACCTTAACAGCATCCATTAGATGACAACAATTAGACTAGCTGTGCATCTAAATGCTTTAGAATCTTCAAAACGCCATTTAGTCATTTGTTTTGGCATATGACAATATACTGTATATACATACAAATGTAAATTCAATTAAAATGTTATTTACCTTAACCTGAAATGCACGTACAAATATATGTGTAGTGAATGTTAATTTCAATTATAAAAGCCTACATGCTAGTGCATGCAAGTTCATAGCTTAAAACTTGGCAGTGTTTATTGTACATTAAATGGGCCTATGTGCACCACTGAAGTATTCATATGCTAATGAGAAGATCCAGAATGTTCCACTCTGTTAAATTAACTTCCTAAACAAACCCAGAGGCAAAGCGAGCCAGATTGCAGCAAACACATGCATAAAAATAAATGTTAAATGCATATTTTTTTAAATTGCAATTATAGCTGAGCCTGCCTTCACAAAGTTTTATTATATATATATATATATATTTTTAGCAATTTTATCCGTTTTACACAAAATTGTCTCGTTTTATAATAATAAATAATGAATTATTATATTTTAATGTACATTTTTTTTGCAATTTATTAATTTTGTACTGTTTTACACCATTTGAATACAGTATACATAAATATTCACAAAAACACAATTTTTATGCCATGTTTCCATTCAGATGAAAAGATAAACATTGTTATACAGTATGTCTCTGATTTGAATACATATCTGTGCATTTAAATTCAGCTTTATGCATTTTGTTTTGCAGAATTAAGCATGAGAACATAGTGGCGTTGGAGGACATCTATGAAAGCTCCAATCACCTCTACCTAATAATGCAGCTGTGAGTATGTGCGACGCTTACACAGTTACCCACAATGTGCTCATGTCTTCCTGTTCATTCTGTGGACATTTTAACAAACAAATACCCAGTTATTTGCTTGTGTATGTACAAACATTTGGGGTTGGTAAGATGCTGTGGAAACCATGATACTATTTTTTTCAGGATTCTTTGATGATTACATATTTCATTTATTTGAAACAGAAATCTTTTGAAATATCAAATGTCTTTACTGTCCCTTTTGATGGTGTCTGTGGTCCATGATTTTCAACCATTTCAGAATTGAGAGAACTATGACTTTAACATATTACCGCCCACATCGTCATCTCCTTATCAGTATTCAGCAACCCAACGGGGGTGTCGTTAACTAATTTCACATGCGAAGAGGTTAGCCCATCAAAACGGAGGTCATTTACATATTAGTCTTAAAAGTCTTAAAAGTAACGAAAAAGGTTTGGTTCTAAGGGTCAAGGAGAAGGTGGAAAGTGATCATGTAAAACTAAATTACCACAAGAAACCTTGACAGACGCCATTTCAGAATTGAGAGAACTATGACTTTAACATATTACCGCCCACATCGTCATCTCCTTATCAGTATTCAGCAACCCAACGGGGGTGTCGTTAACTAATTTCACATGCGAAGAGGTTAGCCCATCAAAACGGAGGTCATTTACATATTAGTCTTAAAAGTCTTAAAAGTACAGTAACGAAAAAGGTTTGGTTCTAAGGGTCAAGGAGAAGGTGGAAAGTGATCATGTAAAACTAAATTACCACAAGAAACCTTGACAGACATTTAAGAACAGCTCTGTTGCTCATCTTTATGTAATCCTCAGACATTTATGCGCTTAAAAACGCTGTATTTTGTGTTTTTACTCTTTGATTAAACAGCAGTTGACAGTCTGACCTCTTGCTCAAGTATTAAAGTGACTTCTGTTCCGTACTTCATTTCAGCTCTGTTTCGATGAGCTTAATGTTCTGACACGTGAATGCACAAAAATTAATCTGTAAAGCGATAAGAAAATAGGATGGCACGGTGGGCCACGACCCAGATCACAGCGAACTGGAAGATGAAGAATGTCGATCTGGACAGAGAGGAAGAGAGAGGGTGGCAGTCTGGTGAGTTGGCTGAGTGCTGCTGTATGCTGACGTAGAAGCATAACGTAACATCGGTGATGGGTAGCAGAATGTGCATGTCTGTCCAGCACTGCAATCACACACACACACACACACACACACGCACACACCTAACATTTTGGCATATGGTGTTGAGATGAATATTTAAACAGTACCAATCTGCTTTCTGTATGATCTCACAGATGCCGTTTAGAAACTCTTTTCATAATTCACTCTTCACGTAAGTGTGTGCAAGTGTGATTCAATCAGATATGGACTGTTTTCTTCATGCATGTTAGATCCTCAGGCACTACTGCACAGTATGACACGATTTACGGCAGTGGAACGAGAGAAATAAGGACTAGATGAGGACAGAGAAAAAGGGACAGACTAAGGGCGTCTGCACACTGCAGCAGAGAGCGCTGTAAATCCGTTGACTACAATTGAAATGGTGGATCATGAGGATGTAGAGAAAGAGTGTTCAATTAAAGTCCAAAAGGTCTATGGTTTCCTTCCCTGCAAATGTCCATATAATCATAACTTACACTGGCAGGAGTCAATAAGGCTTGGAAATGAAATAAGCAGTGTGCATGGGAGGAATATATATTGTAAATTGTAAGATTGGCAGCAGTAGTACTCTTAAAAATAAGAAATGATCCTACATACACTCTTAAAAATAACGGTTCCAATAGGGAACCTTTTTGCAATGATATTGTAGAACCACCATTTTTGGTTGCCCAAAGAACATTTTAGAGAACAGTTCTTAAAAGAACAAATAAAGAACATTTTAATAGTCTGAAGAACCTTTTTCCATTATAAAGAACCTTTTTGTCCTATGGAATGTTATTTATATAACCATCAATGCAAATAAAGAACTATTATTTTTAAGAGTATAGTCAAGCCCTCCAAATCAAATTTAAGGATCAACCGCTGTCATCGTTTTCTATCCTTTCGCTCCTCATCTTTCTCCATGTTTTTGCTTCGCCGTCTCTCTCATGCACACACATCTCTTTAGTAGACACTTCAGATGTGATGATGGGATTATATTGATCATAGCCTCAAAATAGCCCGTCTTGGAAAACTTCCATTCCTGCAGTCCTGAGACAGGAATGAACTGTTTAGTTTTCATAGGGAGATGATCTGAAGCAGGTTTTGTTTGCACATACTCAATTAAACTGTAAAGGAAGCTCATATGACCTAATGCGGTATGTATGTGTTTGTGTACTTGTAGCCACGATACTTTCTAATTAGCATGACTAAAACTGAGCTGTAACTTTCACCATTCACCATCACAAACGACCTTTTTAATGAGTAGCAGATCAGTCACGGTTTTTCCTCATAGGAGGAAAAAAAATAGCCGCGGGATTAAATTAATAAAAAAAAATATAGGTCTAATTGTGACTTTTTAATCTCACAATTTAGGCTTTTTTCCCCTCGTAATTCTTACTTTATATCTTATAATTCAGAATATAAAGTCAGAATTTAAAGATATTGTCACAATTGCAATATATATAATTTAAGTTCTGCGATGAAAAGACAGTTTTGAGATATGAACTTGCGATTGTTAGTAAAAAAAAATTAATAAAAAGGTCGCAATTACATTTTTTTTATACCATGGCAGAAGTAAAAGTTCAGAATTGCGAAATATAAATACTTAATATTAATAAATGAATCAATTGTTTTCACTATGTTTTTAGTTTTTTTTATTATTAAATTGGTTTGAGTTTGTTGTAGTCATCATAACAGAGTTCATCCTTACATTATCAGATATACTATATATAGCTGCTCAGTGTTTAAGTATTTACTCTGAAGATCATTATAAATCATTTAAATTAAACAGTTATTTGACTAGTACATTAGATATAATATAAAGTCACACAGGGGACTGAATCAGAGTTTTGATTTTATTCAGTGAAACGTTTTAAACTGATTAACAGAAATGAATCAAACCGGTCAACTTAAGTGAAGTTTAACTACTGACTTTTATACCAGAACACTGTCATATTCTTGAGTGGAATTTTTTAACTTAATGACAAAATAAAATATGAAAATCACAATGTTGCTCAATACCAGCTAAATAACAGTAAATGTATTATGATGAATACTCAATACATAACACAACCCTAATTGAGATCCTTGTACTTTGTTTCGGATGTTTTTCTTTCTTTCTAATATATTGCCCTTGTAAATACCTTCAATGTATACTCTTAAAAATAAAGGTGCTTCACGATGCCATAGAAGAACCTTTTTGTCTAAATGGTAACATAAAGAACCTTTAACATCTGAAGAAACTTTCTGTTTCACAAAAGGTTCTTCGTGGCGAAAGAAGGTTCTTCAGATTATAAAAAGATAAGAAAGAGATGGTTCTTTAAAGAACCTTTGACTGAATGGTTCTTTGTGGAACCAAAAATGGTTTTTCTATGGCAACCTTTTGAAGCACCTTTATTTTTTTCAAGGAGTAGCTTTGCTTTAGTTGAAGTGTTTTATGAATTATGCATCGCTTGTAGCCTAGCAAGCTACAGGTTAAAAGTGTCTCTCTCATCACTGCTACCTGTGTGTGTTTTTAAGAGCTGTTTTTTTAAGGTTACAGAGTTTCTATAATTTCTGATGGAAATGTGCCTGTTTCATTTCAAGGGCTTTTCGAAACGCAGCTTTCACGAGTAACAGACTAGTCCGGCACGCACTAATAGGCGACTCTAAGATAAGTTGAAGCCCTAAACCACAGAACCAAAGCTTTTGTGTCATGAGTGAAAGCTTGTTTCCTGAAGGGAGGAAGAAAATGTCTAGAGGCAGAAAATGGAGAATAATAGAATAAATTTAGAAGGACTCAGGAGCCTCAACCTCCTGTGGAGAATAACAGGATTATGAGTATGTGAGTGTGCGTGAAGGTGTGTGTCTCAAAAAGATGGTAAATTGAGTGCCCTTCATGATTTCTATGGTTGTCTGCTTTCCCAAACACCTGCACTCATATATATATATAATATGCTAACAAAAACATGTTCAAGTCATTAATTTTATATAGTTGCAAGACGGTCGAAAAAGACAGAAACTCAGTGGCAGACAGGAGTGATATGATTTGTCTCAATCTGATCTGATTCTTTCTCTCTTCTCAGCTCCAGAAGTTCTCGCTCAGAAGCCATACAGTAAAGCTGTGGACTGCTGGTCTATCGGGGTCATTGCCTACATCCTGTGAGTACCCACAATGCCACACTCATCCTTTCATTTATAAGCTGAGGAATCCTTCAGCTAAGGTTTGAATGAATCTTTCAGAAGAAGAAAACGTTTGCACAATGTCACTGAACCACTGATCTCTCCAGATGAGCTACAGATGTTGTGCCCCACTTTACTCAGACTCCTTATATGGGCTTATTGTTGTGGTGCAGTTTGAGTGAGTTCATAAAACAGAAAAGAGAGTTTGTGTCTCACAAATATTTGAGATGTTGATTACTGGAAGATTTCTGGACTTTCTCTGGTTCCTCAGCAGATGGGAACGCTTTCTTACCAATAAACACTGCGGTGTTACCATGGTGCATGATGATGGTATGAGATGCTAATGCCATGGTACTGATATGAATTCTTATATAACATGTTTTTTACTTACAGGGCAGGGTGATTTGGCAAAAAAAGGTAGATTTTTTTAGAAAATGGTGGATTTAAATATTTATATTATATTATAAGGTTTTTTCTTAAAATTGTTATCTTTTTGTAGTTTTTCACTAAATGAACAACAAATATTTCGATTTATTTGAAACAATATAACAATTGATAAACAACAGGATTTTCTAATATTTTTCTCCATATTTCCCATATATTTGCCCATATTATAGTACATACACTTTAATATCTAAAAAAAAACATGGTTAAAAAACAGCATTTATAAAAAAAATAATAATAAATAAATAAATATATATATATTAGAAAACATTTTATTTATATAAAAAAAATACCATGTGGACTTCATGAACATTTTTGAGTCTCGACTCGCTCCCGGAATCAAAGTTTTGAATCGATTCATTTGGAACAGACAGTTTGAACTGATTCAGGAAGAGGAATCAAACTTACTGGCTCTAACCTAAAGAGTCTTAAGAAATGTCATAATGTGCAGCAAAATTATTGTAAATATTACTATTAAATAGCCTATAAATGGAATATTCCTCACACTAAAGGTACATTGTCCCAAAAACAAATCATTGCGATACCACTGTGATATTTTCATTTCACCCTCTGTATGTTTTCTTCTATTTCTTAGTGTGGGAATGTTCATAAGGATACTGAGAGTGTCATAAAAGCTGTACATTTCACATGTGCTGTGGCCATCTGTGCTTCTCTGTCTGTGAATTAGCATTTTACTGAGTGGAGACAAATCAACATAAAAACAAGTGCCTCATCACCTTCTCATATCTTAGTCTGCTGCAGTTCTCTGTGTATTGTCTTTTGTTTTGGTCTTTGGATCCCGGCTGCTCTGGGGCGACTCCTGCGCCAACACAAACACTCACACTGTCTGTCAACAAACTGCTGAAGCTGTCCTTCCCATCACTCCCACTCACAGCTGTCCTGATCCCAAATATTCACGTGTTTATGGTTGAGTTTGTTTACTTTTGCACAGGTTAACGTTAACTTACTTAATTATGAGATTTAGAATGAATTTTTAACTACCATAATGTAATATATGTGATTTAAAAAAAATTGTTCACCCAAAAATGAAAATTTATTACAAATTGACTCTCTCTCAGGCCATCCAAGATGTAGATGAGTTTGTTTTTTTCATGGAAACAGATTTGGAGAAATTTAGCATCACATCACTTACTCACCAATGGCTCCTCTGCAGTGAATGGGTGCCGTCAGAATGAGCGTCCAATCAGCTGATAAAAACATCACAAGTATTCCACACCACTCCAGTCCATCAAATAACATCTAGTAAAGTGAAAAGCTGCATGTTTGTAAGAAATAAATCCATCATTAAGACATTTTAACATCAAACTTTCAGCTATAACACAAATCCTCTAGCCATAATACTGCTTTCTCCTGATCTCGTCTGAATCAGGAAAGGAATATGCACAGATCAAGCACCGTTTACAAACGAAAACAGTTCTAAATAAATATATCAGTGGAATTTGATGTGAGAGGACAATAGAGGATGGACTTTTTAACTGGAAGGAGCATTATGGAATGGGTTAAAGAAGTGACGGTTAAAATGCCTTAATGATAGATTTCTTTCTTACAAACACAGCCTTTTGCATCACATGACAATTGATAGTCATGTTTTGGATTATTGTGATGTTTTTATCTGCTGTTTTATAAAATTTTTCAGGAACTATTCTTTAAACAAGAAGAAAAATAAATGTAAGGCAGGAATTTATCCATCATTAATTGATTGGATCATAAAAAGTGGTCTCTAACTGACAAAGTGCTGGATGGGAGATGTTGTCTTTTTTTAAGTGAAGCATTTTATTACATTTTGATTCAGTATTATCACTTTTAGTGTAATGAATCATTCAAGACCAGAAATGTGTATAAAAGTACATTTTGATTTTATGTTGACTTAAGCTAAGTTTGTACATGACAGGAGTGTGTCAGTGTTGTTTTTGCTAACTAAAACCAAAACTATGAATTGACTTAAAAACTTCATTAAATGATGTCAAGCTGAAATAAACACAAAAAAATTAAAGATCTTAAATATTAAATTAAGTTTAATTATCTGGCAACTTTATTTTAAGTTGAAGTTCTAAAATGACTAAAACTGAAATAATTAAAGCGAAAGAATTTTTTTTAAATAAATGAAAGTTGATAAAATCACAAAAATACTAAAACTGGAAAATTAAAATATAAAATTAAAAGCAAATTCAGAATATTAATAAGCATAAAAGTATATAAATAATACTAAAATAAATCTGGTGTGTGTTTACCGACAAGGACCTCTGCCCACCTCTTCCTCGGAGCCAGATCTCATGGATGGTTGGCCTCCTCTCAGGTGTGATTATTGCAGTGACAACCGGCCGAAACCGTAGCTAATTCTCTTAGCGTCTGATTAGCTAACCCAACGAGAAGAGAGAAAAACACAAAGCTAATGGGGTCGAAATCAGGCAGAAAATTACCATCCCTTTCTCCCCCACTGCCTCCGTTCCCCATGAGGAAAGGTATTTGAATGGCTTTGATGATGGGAGGGGAAAAACATTCCAGGAGATGTGTTGAGGAAATTTGATTTACGTTGATCGGGTTTAATCAGCTGTCTTTCTTTTCAGATTTCCAGCCCATGGGGTTTATTTACGCTTATTTATGAAACGTAAACGCTTGTTTACTGTTGAATCAAGGTGTGAGCTGACGTGTTTTTAGAGGATTACAGTGAAAATCTAAACTCTAAAGGGAAAATCTGGCATTATTCAGGACTAATCTCCAATATGACAAAATAAGTATGTAAAATAGTCCTTATGATGATTGCATTATATTACCAGTGTTTTGAAGCTATATTGTACAAGTCATGTGGACAACTTTTATAAAGCTTTCATTTTTGACATTTGGGAGCTTGACAAAGTGGATCCCATTTCATTATATGGAAAAGAGCAACAAGTACATTCTTCATAAACAGAGGAAAAAAGTAATGGGAGTGAGTAAATAATGACAAAATATCAATTTTTCAGGTGAACTGTCCCTTTAAATATAAGTAGCATATAAGAACTACTGATGTTACACATTTAAGGTTGTGGGTTCGATTCCACACATACTTGCTTACATATTTCCACACTTTGAATGAGCTGTAAGTATGGAAATGATACAATAAACTTTTGTTTTCTTACAGATTGTGTGGTTACCCTCCCTTTTATGATGAGAATGACTCCAAACTCTTTGAGCAGATCCTGAAAGCGGACTATGAGTTCGATGCGCCGTACTGGGATGATATATCTGATTCAGGTATATTCACTCTGGGAAGTGTAGAAAAGAAGCACATGGTGCTAATGGTCCGGTTTATAGGTGTTTAATCTATAACACACTCACTCATCTATCAGTAACTGCACATGCTGCCAGTAAGAGAGGAAAATGTTTTACAGGAAACTCTGAGCGCCGTCTCTGGCATTCAGTAAACACCACGGGCATTAGCTCTATGAAATCCTTCCAACCTACAAATCAGGGAACTGTGAATGAATCCAAATGTTGTTGTCAGTCTTTCCACTGATAAACCCAAACTCTCAGTTTTATCTCACCAACAGGATGAATGTGGCATAGTGTAGGCTCACAGTGTAGAACGCAAATATGATGCCTTGAAATGTCAATGTAGTTTAATGGTTCTAAGCTATTGAACATTTATGTTTTGTATTTTTTAATGTTTAACTTTTATATTTTTTATATTTAATATAAAATTTTATATTTTATTAATATATTTTATATTTAACAGCAAAAGACTTCATCAGTTGTTTGATGGAAAAGGACCCAACAAAGCGATACACATGTGAACAGGCCCTTCGACATCCCTGGTAAGTCAGTACTGTCCTGATTAATAACAATAAATGATTATTATTATTATTATTATTATTAATAACAATAATTTTTAATTCAAAGTGAAACTATAATTTAAGTAAAATGATAGGAATTTATTATCATTATTATTATTATTTAAATAATAATAATTTAGTTGAAAATCATTTTAATGTACAGCAACAATGTTAAAAGTAATGATAAGTAATGATTTAATTTAAATAATAGATCAGTAATTTTATTTTTTTTGTTGTTGTTGTTAATAATGTTACAATTAAATGAAATTTTCATTATTATTGATGACAATAATAATAAACAGTTCTTCTTACAAATAATATAGTACATTAGTTGAGCTGTAGGTGATGTTGTTTAAATTATAAATTTAACAAAGATCCTTTTTTGACAGCAACAAGTAGGTCTCTGCAGATCATTGTTCTTTATGATTGACTTTTATTTTGTTGGACTGTCTTTCAGGTCCTCAAAGACACTTAAACTTTACCAGAACAATTCAACTGTGACCTCATAAACAGCTTTTAGAGACAGAGCTTTATTTCTCGTTATTAGTGCAGCGTTTCATTGGTATTCGATTGAGACGCTGTCTGCGTCAGCTGGGGATTGTGTGTACGTTCTGAGTATCAGGCTGAATTCTGTCTATCTATTATCATGCACCAAGATCTCTCTCAAGGGCAGGAGGAAAGCTACTGAATAAACGCTAGCCAATTAAGACACTGCGCCTAATCTCACATTATGTATTCCAAAGCGCTAATCGGCAATTAGCACATCCTCTACAGGCACCTTTAACAAGCCTTTACCAAACACTGGAGTCTGAAAAACTGGAGAACAGAGCAGAAGGATCGAAAACCATAGGGAATTGACACACAAGTAAATCAAAGTGCTTCTTAAGAGGAGAGGAGCGATGAGAGGAGAGGACGAAGTGAAGAGGTGAAGAAGGGTGCAAAGTTTTGACATTGTCGTTTTGCTTTTCAGGATCGCAGGAGACACTGCGCTCTGCAAGAACATCCATGAGTCTGTCAGTAGACAGATGCGCAAAAACTTTGCAAAAAGCAAATGGAGAGTGAGTAGAAGTGACATTGTGAATAAGGCCAGCAAGCTTATACAAGTAGAGTCAAATTTTGAAACACAAAATCTAGCTTGTGTAGCTTAGAGAACTGTATGTTTTGGGCCTCATTTCGCTTCTCTTTGACCATGAATTCCCGTCTCTCCACATATCAGCAAGCCTTCAACGCCACGGCCGTGGTTCGCCACATGAGGAGACTGCAGTTGGGCAGTAGCATGGGGAGCAGCATGGACCAATCAAACAACGCCAACCAGAACCGCATACTGAACGCCAACCAGACTCCAAACACCACTGCGGCACTTACCCAAAACCACAAACCTGCTCCCAATGCAAACGCCGTTCTTGTTAACGATATGGCCACCTCTATACCACGCAAAGACTGTAAGTATTAGTCATATATCATATTAATCAACATGAATATTGCAGTAATTTGAATGCACTTTTAAAAATCTAATTTATTTCAATAATAATTATTGTATTTAAAATTTCCTTAAACAGTAGGCCAATTTTAGACCCGCTCCTGTCAAGAATTGGGAGTATAAGAGAGTGCTGTATGTATACTGACAAAAAAATCGGGCTGTTTGTTTTATTTTTGCATTTGAGTTAATTTCATATGCCTGTTTCAGTGAATCATTTTAATCACTTGTTCACATCCAGTGTTTATTTAGTTGATTTAGTTTTTTGATTTAGTTTTATTTTTTTATATTTAGAATGAGATTTTAATTTTTATATTTTGTTTTCATTTAATTGTAATGTTATTTTTTAGTACTTTGCTATGTGCTTTATTTTTTGATCAGTTTTTGTTTTTAAATATTACTAGCATTTAGGTTTTATTAATATTATATTATCATTGTTATTATTTTAGTTTAGTTAGTTATTTATTTCCGGTAATTTTAGTGCTTCAATTTGCAAATTCAATTTCCTCTGATATTTGTATTTTATTTTATTTCAGCTTCATTTTATTTAACAAAAAGGTTTTGAATAGTTTTGTTTTTAGTTTAGTTAACTACATTGACCCTGTTCATGTCAAAACTCCAAACATGTTGCATGGTATGTTTTACTAAAAAGGAGAAATGTTGTACAAAATGTGGAAAAATTATTTACAGCTATACTACTTTTCAATGTTGTGGTAAAACACCCATGTTTTTAAAACTAAGTTTTAACATTTACCTTATCGCACTTCATCAATGACTGTCAAAATGACGGCTCTTCTAACTTTTAAAAAAATTGAAAGAAAAAAACAAACAAACAAATTTTTTAAGCCATTTAAAACCAAATATAATAAATATTCAGATGTAGAATAGCATCTAGAATAGCTGAAAATTTTTAAATTAGACATATTTTCTGCTATAATCACCTAACCCTAGTTCTAACTTAAATGCACTAACCGATAAATTTGCATTTGTAGGCACTGCCCCTCCCCACACTTCCTGTTCCCTGGCATCAACTGCTTCCTCCTCTACCTCAGGGGCGGAGCCCTGCAGGCCACTCCCTCCCTCAGTTGCGTCGGTGAGCACAGTGCTAACTGGGACCAAGTGACGCCAGGTTCTGCGGGGAGAGAGCTGGGAGGCCACTGCCCTGTGAGCCCTGCCCCTCAGCCCACTCCCCGCCCTGCCGTCCAGTAAGGCAGAGGACTGACCCATCGCCATAGCAACCACCGAGAGGCTCAAAACACTGCGCGCGCCTAACGCACTCCTGCCATTTAACCTCCAGGCCACTAGAGGGTGCAATGCATGCAGCGGCAGGAGATGGAGATTTCCAGCAGAAGGCTTCCATTTTGAGAAGTGAATTCGTGCGGCTGGACAGAACTGTGATGTCTTTGCTATGAATGTGCTACGAACCTCGCCAGCCATGAAAAAAAAAAAAAACAACGAAGAGTGCAGAGGTTTAGGTGCGAAAGCGTGTGCATGATCGTGTCCGCCCTTATAGGAGGATGGCGCCAATGTCAAATGATTCTTCTTACTATATCGTAACATGTCTAGCTCTTCCCTCTTTTCCCTGTTTACTTTCTCTATCTACTCATGATTTATTGTATTTCTCGTTAGCTACCATTTTGATCTTTCGGGGTTTTCCACTGATGTGTCACGCTGACCTGCAGAAGTGCTTTTAATAATCACGTTAGACTGTTTTGCGACATTTTTCGAGTCGAGACTTCTGTTTGCACATTTATACGAGAGAACAGGTAGCGCAATTGCTAGCGTTTTACGAGATGGGAGATTACCGATTTGCGACCTCGCCATCGGGTTTTAGCATCGGGAAGTTCAAGATATCTGTTAAAACATGCAGTATGTTTGATTGTTATCTTACTTTACTGGATTTTTTTTTTTTTAAAGCTGAGAGAAAAACAGCTTGATCCTGTTACTCTGCTTCAAACGTGACTTTAAATACACACAGACAGTCACTGTTAGTTATTGAATATAGTATAACTGTTAATACGCAACACAAATCTCCCAAAAAGCCATGGTAGCGTCTTTCTACGCCCAGTGTACGAGTTCTCAGGGAATTCCGCAGCTGCACTGGGCAACAGTGATGGTATCTTCAGTAACGCCTCCATGGTTTGAGATTGTCTCATCCAGCTGGAATAATGTCAAAAATATCGATTAGGATGGACAGCTGTTTAACTCTCACAATGATTGTATGACAATTTGACCATGCGGGAAAACTGATATGTTATGCTATGTTCACGCCGTTTCGGAATTAACCTACCGTGATTACAAACTCCTGATAGAGAGCAAAAGTCGGGTTCTGGAAGTAAATCCCATCAGTTTTCTCAATTGGAGATTTGATTTTTAACCATAACTTATAAGCCTTTAATCACCTACTGTGAGCTACGAGGTTGTTTATCGATGGTATATGATTTTTTTTTTACATTTATCGATAGCATTATTTCAACATTTTTTAACAAAAATGTTCAACTGTGGGAGTCCTAGTAAAAAACTATATTGCCCATGATTCTGAAAAAACTACACTCCCATGAACCACTAATGCTAATGACTGATGTAATCTGCCTACACTTTCAAACTACTTAAATATTTGTATATATATATATATATATATATGCATATTTTGCAATATACACAATCATACACATCTTTAAATCAAATTAATTTGATGTTTTTAATGTGTTGTTTGCAGTGCTTCATGGGATCGTAGTTCTTTCTTAGAGCGATTTTTCTCAGATCTTCAAATACTTCTTGCTTCAAATCAAAGTTTATAATGTTGTGAGTTACCTCGTCTCTGGTTGGTTTGGTTAATGGTTTATAACTCTTAAACGGGGAAAATGAATGGAAAGAATACTTCCGGATCCAAGGCTGCTGATAAAGTGGGCGGCCACTATTGTACTCTATTACTCGTTGGAAACAAGTTAAGGGCGGGACTGACCGTTTTATCCGACCAATGGCAGACAGAGGAGTGTTTAGGATACCTGTTACTATTTCTGCAACATTTTGTGATGCTAGTGGCATAGAAACTTAACTCTAAAGGCAGTTTTGTATATATACTGCTAAATATTTCTATTTGATGTCATTTTATTATAGCCAGCATATCATGGTGTGCTTTCTTCGCTCTTCCTGATTTTGCAAAACAAAGTGGCTGTTTAATGTGGCTGTTAAGTATTTTGCAGTAAAGTCATCGTTATGCGTTTACATGTTGCGTAATTCTGATTCAACGTGAATGCAGCATAACTTTCAGTGACTGTAAACATCTTTCCAGTATGAATCAAAGTGTCTGAATTTCTAGCATTGCTTTAAGGGCTAAGTTAAGGTTTTTGCACGTCCTTATTGATGGGTGACTGGTCTTCTGTCTTCTTATTATGTCCTGTGGGGTTTTTAAAGTGACTGATGTCTTCTTTGCCTTTTATGGTTTGTTAATATCACAGGAGGGAACCTCGTCTATGGACAAGATTTAGGAGTGTGACATTTTCCAAAGTGCCATCGAATATCTTCATGCATGTCCCATTAGTTTAATCCTAAATGTTTGTTTCGGTGTGGGCGGCGCTTCACCGTGAGGGGTTTGAGCTAATGGGTTTATTTTTCAGTCAGGTCATGCATGCACCATTTTGTCTTCATTTTCACACTTGAGAGGAGTTCGTAATCTCGCAACGGAGATGCGCTGCAAAGCTTTTCACGAAACTGGGGCGACGTTATGATTTTGTATGTCACGAAAGCTGTTTTCTTTGAGAGTGAACCATACTTCACATTTCTGTTTCATTCAGAGCCATTTACGCTGTAAGCATGAGGTGTTTGATAAGTAACAGTTGTTTAAATGAATGTTGAGCTCTTTTGATAGTATCTGTGGCATAATGTTGATTACCACTGGAAATCATTTCAATTTGTCTCTTAGTTTGTAAGAATAAAAGTCAACTGTATAGAAAGGCATATAAAGGGTTTAAAAGCACTAGATGGTTTTCTTAAAGCACCTCTATTCATTTTTCTGTACAAATGTGTTATTTGAGCTAGTTAATCACCTAGTTAACAGTGGGACGACTGTCCTAGACTGTCCTATATTTTCTACATGTTTTGTCATGTAAACAGTACCTTTGTGCATACTGTATGAAATTTACCAGATTTGTTTTATTTTTGAAATTGAATATAACTTTTCAAACAAGTTAGTAAGCAATTTTTCCAACTAGTCTCATTGTCTGAAAACTGCATGAAAAACATTTGCTGTTGAAACAATTTTTACTCAGAAATTGCTAGTAAATGTCACAATAAATTGTAAAGAAATGACAAGTAACACACTTAATTAAAATTTTGAAGTAGAAAGCCTGAAATTTTTATTTTATCTTTTTTGTAATACTTATACCAGTAATCTTGAAATTTTTATTTTTTTTTAATGCAGTGTTAACATTTATTTCATTGCCATTTCTCGCCCCTGTAGACTTTCATTGTAAGTGCATTACTATTAATGCCATTTTTGCTTGTTTTTATAAACTGAAGGACAACTAGAAATGATTTTCTGTGGTAACAGGGCTTAACATTTTTGGCTTCAGTGTTCATGTAGTCTTTCACACTTTCTGTGTGTATTTATGGGTGTAAAATGCAGGAATTTTGTCCGATATGCTGGTTTTGAATTTTTTGAACCCTCATTAGGATGTGCAGGAAAAGTATAAACCAAAATATGGGGGTGTTTTGAACGAAGATAAATAACCCTATATATAGTTACTGGCACTGCAAGCCAAACATAAATGTATTTTAAATCTAACAGTGAAATCTATGAACTCATTTTAAGTAATGAAATTCAGTAAATACATGCACACATGTGCCATGGCTCACACAAGCACACCTTGGTCAATCAGTGAGTGCAATGAAGGTCAGAGAGCAGCGATGTTTCAGTTCACTTCGATTACAGCATCACTGTGGTCTGTCTGCGTCCAGAGCAAACCACTCCGTGTGTCCGTGTGCTTTGTAAATAGACTGTGATGGTGTCGTGTCTATCATGTTGTCCCTGAGATGTTAGTGTGTCCGTTGCGTGTCTCATCTCGTTCTCTAAACACTGCCTTTCTCTGCAGTTATCGGCCACACTTGACTGTAATACACACAGATGTATATTCACAAACCTGTCTCGTTCAATGTCGTACGTTCCTACTGTACAAACTTCACACGCGCAACATGGTGAATATTTAACTATGATCGGTTGTGATGCACCTTCTCCGGACGAATCGTTTCCTGACGTTTTCTCTTTTTTTTAACCAACTCAGGCATCACTTTTGCCTCTTATGATGAAAAAGCTGTGACTGACAAGTGTCTGTGCTACCCAGTGACTGTGCAGTTTTAAACTTGTCCCTTGAATGTCGACTTCTTCGCAAACTAAGAAAGAAAAACCCTTGCAACTGCATCGAATGATTTTATAAAGAACTGCGAGCATGTTAAATGCGCTTTCCGATTCGACCGATTGTTTGCGTATTTTCAAAAGTCCTCACCATGTAACTATATGTATGAAGAAATATGTCTATATCTATATGAATATATATTTAAAAAAATGCAACTCTGATAATGCAGGCCTTGTGATCTCTGCATCTCTGACACAACCTGTCCGAAATAAAAGTTGCCCAGTGAAATGTGAATTATATACTCATATGCATGTGACAATGATGATCATATTTTGGGAGTGGCATACGAATACTAACTTTACTGTGACGTGATCTTCTGTAGACATGGGGCTTGTATATCCAATGCCTTTGACAATCATCTGCACATATCAGAGTTTATATTCCATGCTGTAAAGCAATGGGGAATTCATTTTTTCCCCCTTTCTTTTTCTTTCCTTTTTCCTTAAATAAATCCTGAATGATCATGATTTGTCTTTTATGGCTTGATAGGGATCTCAGTATCTCTCTGACCCCTGTTTAGCTTTTGAACACTGTTTTCTGTCGTACGTTTGGTTTGGATCCAGTGTAAGTGGGCTTTCATTAGCGGTCAGTCGGGCTGGACGTTGCCGGTCTCCCACCAGCTCAGAGCTTCAGGCGATGCCTGCTGTTGCGGACTCAAAACAGACTGGAAAGAGAGCATGTGAAAAGCATCCAGCCATGCGTGACCGCGTACGACCCCGGGCATCTGCGCGTGTGTCTGGCCAACATGTTAGACATTAGCCGTTTCAAGGAGGCGACGGTGAAAATGCAGCTTGCTTGCTTGCTTGCCAAGTTACTCGATATTCAAAAAGTACAGGTCTGCCAGCTTAGCAGACATTAAACACACACACACACACACACATATATATATGCCTTGCCTGAGTAAACTTGCTTTACCAGCAGAGAGAGAGGGGGGAAATGTGTATATAGTGTAGTATAAATGCAACATTTAAACTACCATATGCATGCCACATAACACTATGTGTTAAGAATATTGGAAAAAAATAAAAAGAAACACCTTTGCCGTTTCCCTTACAATTGATTCACAGTTACAGCTGGACCTTACTACGATAAACAATGACCAATAGGCTATACAGTATATACTGTATACACACACACTCATTAATAGCTCTGTACTGACTGAGCAAATTTGATTCAAACTGCTACCCGAATCACTTTGACCAACTATTTAAAAACATAATCGGTTCAAAAGAGTCATTTGTTTGAGATTCAAGTATCAGGGCTCGCACTGTGTTTGCTGTTGTAAGCAGGAACCTATACAGGAACTTCATGAGATGTCTGACCAATTGACATGTGGATGCATACATTTTTTACCTATTGTTGGCAATGGCAACAAGATTAGTCTATATAATGAAATAAAATCAATATACAGCTAACATTTAGTTTAAAAATCTGTCCCCTTGATACACTAAATTGCTGGTTAGTGTATTTCTATTTCTATTCACCACAATGATTTATGATATATTGAGTTTTCCCTAATTTTCTTTTTTGAATTCCAGTGATTCTGCAGGTCTTATGAAGGTCAACTTAAATTTAAGACATCGATGTTTTCAAAATACACTGCGCTTTATATTTTTGTCTTGTTTTCTGAAAAGAAAAATCACAATTTTGTCAGTTTTTGCTTAAAGCAAGAAAAATATCTGCCAACCGAGTAAGAAAAATAATCTTGATTCAAATTTTTCTTGTTTTGATGTTCAACTGTCTTCTCCAAACTTTACAACTGTACTTCAATGTGAAATTGTCAAAAGCTAAATTGTTATTTAATTGTATTTAATTTTATGCATTTAGCAGATGCTTTTATTCTCTTTGTTCAAAGAGCCAACAATAGTCATAATATAAAATGCCATGTTTATTAGACAACTAGATTAGGAAGCAAGCTAGAGAAAAGAAGAAAAAGAAGTTTCTCTTTCATATTTTTCTCTCCACTCACCATCACCAGATGAAGTCAAACCCTTAATGCTGTGCTATAGGTTCTTCTGCAGACCTGATCGTGGAGAAACCCACTTTCATTTTACAAGCCAACATCCGAAACATCTTAAAATAGACGCTGAGATTTCCCCAGAGGACAGCACACATTGTTTTCCCCCTCGTGCTGCCGCAGGGAGCAGCAGTTTCCCTGTCATTATCCTCTTAAAATAAATGACTTCTAACTGCATCGCCTCGAGAGCCAATGTCAGTGTGCTCTGCAGCATGTCTATCCAACCTAACAGTGGGAAATG